AAATAAGAGAAAGCACCATATCCTGTCCTGGACAATGAATACTCAAAAACTGATTTCTATGAAATAAAGAAAAGATGATGATTACAGGCACCTCAGGTGTTTTTTGTTTTGTTTTGTTTTTCTTTTTTTTTTAATTGGGAAAAACATATTGGGGGTACAAGGAGGTGAGGGTTGGGGGCAGAAGGGTGGGGATGGGCAGGGATGCAGTTGCTACAGAAATTGGTTGGTGGGGGGAGCAGGTGAAGGAAAGGAAAAGGATCCAGTGGGGACCAGATGCTACAGGAAAATGATAAGCATTTTCCAATGATAATGAAATCAACTGTCTTATTGATTTGAGAACTGGAAGCCGACTCTCTGGCTTCTTCATGCTGAACAGGGGCGTTGATATGAAGGGGGAAAGGGAGGACACTTTATCAACTTACTGGTGATCTTGGGTTAAGGCTGCTTGCCTTCTTGTTCTGTTAGAAGATATTTTCCTGACATTTGCTCCCCTCTGGACTGCAAAGTGTTTTCCCAGGTGGGTCCAGTAGGGATGGCTGGTTGAACCCAGAGGCTCCATCCTCTGTTGCTTCTTTAGCTGGCAGTTATATTTCCTTTTTGTCACTGGCACTGGGTTCGGGGTCAGGTCTGAAGTAAAACTCAGTGTTAAGGTTACCTATAGGAAAGGGAGCAAACCTAGAGAGAACAAACTTGTGAGTTACAAATAGAGGGGTTTTGGGGATGTTGCTTTCAGATTTACTGGGGGAGCAGTGGCAGAAAGTAGCCAAAATAAAATTCTCTGGATACCCTAGGCATTTTTTTTCCTATCCAGGGGTCAGATGGCACAATCTGGGGACTGAGGAGCTCACCCTGAGGGTCATGATGGTTCTCCCCGAGCCGAGGGCCGAAGACAGCCCACCCCAGGCAGAGGGCCATGACATTTTTTTTAGAAGAAAAACATTTAATGCAATAGCTTAAACACAGAATTCAACAAAATCTAAGTCGGTTCAAAATAACGTTACAAAGAACTAGAAAGCCTGGAGAGGGCAAGGAACCTCAGGGCAGCCTGCTCTCCCTTCCCATCTCCAGGGCACTCAGCCGTGACCACTGGGCTCTTGAACAGCTTGGTCACCTCCCCACAGGAGGTAGCAGCACAGAGAGGGTCGAAAACAAAACCGCCCAGGGCTAAGGCTCTGCACACCCATTGAATGAGGGCCCAGACAAAAGGCACTGGGGCTCAGAACACAGGGACCGAGGGCAGGGGAAGGGACACAGCCCTGGAGGACCAGCTCAACAGGCGGCTTTGTAAGTGGTGGGCCAGGGACCGCTAGCACGTCCCTTGTCTTGAACCTGCCCTCATGCTGAGGAGCCGGAGCATGCTGGGGCGATGGCAAAGCCAGGAGACCTCTGTGTGACCCGCTAGCTGCTGAGGCAGGAGGGGGCGGGCAACAGGGCATGGACCTCACACTTCAGCTCTAGAACCAGCAGACTACACGGAGCTTAGAGTAAGCAAAGCCTCTTAGGGGAGAGAAGAGAGTGCTGAGCTCGAGCTGAGGCATGCTGGGTCTCGGGAGCAGGCACAGAGGAAGGAGACCCCTGGCTTCTCTGGTTATGGTCAGGCAGAGATTTCCTGCTGCCCTTTTATGGGGGTTTATTTTAAGCTCTGGTTAACTTCCTTCTGAAGCTTCTGTGCAGGACCATTCTTGGGCTCAATTTGCAGGAGGCTGCTGATGTCCACCAGGCTGGATTTATAGTCCTTGACTGCCTTGTAAGCCTGAGCCTGTCTGTAAAACGCCTTCACGTTCTTTCCGTCCAGCTTCAGCACGTCTGTGCTATCCTTCACTGCTTCCTTGTACTGCTTCAGGGTCAGATAGCAGAGCGCTCTGTTGGTATAGGTGGCAGACTCCAGGTTACTACACGAGAGGCTCTCACTGTACTTCTCAATGGCTTTCTTGTGGTTCCCCTTCTTTACATACTCGTTGCCTTCTTCCTTCAGAAGCCTGGCTCTCTCCACATCCCCAGCACAAGGCACTTTGTTCTTTGCTGTTGGGGTTTCTTTGGGCTTGCTTTTAGCAGACTCTTTGTGGTTCTTGGAAGGTTTCGAAGCCCATCTCTTCTGAGCTGAAACAGTCACCAAAGGGGTAGGAGGCAGCTTCTGATGCCAGTTGGGCCCAAGTGAGTCCATGAGAACTCTGGTCATTCTGTTGATGCATTCCAGGGCTGACGTCATACTCTTATCGATCTGCAGCACAGTCGACATAGGCCTGTTGGTACTTCTCCAAAGCCTCATAGGCAGCTGCCCGTCGTAGCAGGGGCTTAACGCTGAAGGGAACCAGGTCCAGTGCCGAAGTGCACTCTGATGCAGTCTGAGCAGTTTCCGTTCTTCAAGTGACACGCCGCTCGGTTGGAGTAGAGAACGCTTTCTTCTTCAGGGTTTGGAGAGCCTGACTTGGTGGAACCTGCCGCCTGCAGCAGCCTCAGCGCGCGGCCATAGAGTGTGGAGGCCTCGGAGTACTGGCCCTTGCGGAAGCTCTGGTTGCCGGTGGTGCGGAGCCCCTCCACGGAGTCGCTGGACTTGGGGGCCATTCCGGGAAGAGCCAGTGAGCTGGGCGGGAGGGGCGCGCGGCGGCGCCGCCGTTCACCCAGCGCGTCCGTACCGACTTTTTTTTTTTAACGTCATATTTTAGAGTTCTTCACCTAACACTTAGAGTGACCCTATTAATAATGGATCTGAACCTTGCCCTTTCATGTACGTTCCTCATTATCTCTGACATACTCTTAAGCCCATAAATAGAATAACTGTTTCAATCCATCTTGTTGAGGATCTTTTACTTATCATCACCTTTCCAAGCATGATGTCTTTTTCCAAGGATATGCTCAAAGGTATGTGAGACAAAGTTTACCATCCTTGCACACACTTGTTTCACTTTCTTCAGGACATATTTATTTGTTCTTTTGGGAGTTCACAGAGTAGTCAGTATTCTTATGCAATACCACAACTTAAAGACATCAGTTCTTGTCTGGTCATCCTTAGTTTCTGTTCAATTCCCAGATGTATAGCAAGTTACTGAAAAGATTATGACTTGGATCAGGTGCACCTTAGGCTTTTAATGGAAATTGTTTGTCTTTTGCACTTTAGAGAGCACCTTGACAGGACAGCAGATTTCTTCAATTCAATATATATTTTTATTCTTGGCTGCTGACACCAAGATTGTTGACTGTGAATGTAAGTAAAATGAAATAATTAGCAATTTCAACTTTTTCTCCATCTATCAGGAGTCTATAGTCTATTGTCTATAGTCCCAGTGGTGAGGACTTTTGTTTTTGTTTTTTTTCTTGACCATTTTTATTTTTTATTTTATTAAATTTTATTAACTTTAATGAACATTTACAGAGATTTTGGGTTTCCATTCATTCATTGTTGCACTGTTTTCTCTATCCTCCCCCCCAGTTTGTTCCTCTTTTTTTCCCCTTGAAAGTCTGTTTTAATTGTCCAATTGCCACAGTGCTTATCAAAGCCAGTTCAGATTAATCTCCTTTGTCAGTTTGTCCTTTGCCATTCCCTATCACTCCTCCCTGAGAGAGACTTCACCCTCATTCATAAGGAAAAGGGGACGGCATATTCTCTTAGCTACTTCCTGCTGAAAAGGGACGTTGTAGGTTTCAGGGTGAAGATTACTTGAATGACAGTAATCAGTCTTCGGGTAGGTAAGCATCAAGAGAAGACATTATGTGGGTATCTGGAAGACTGTGTGTGCTGGGCCCGGCCCCACTCACCAAGTAATGACCTTCTCTATTGCTACAATATGTGCAACAAATACTTTTTCTTTTTTAAGTGGTCTCTTTTATGAGTCAATTTCTGTTTCCTTTTGCAAAAGCCACATATGAGAGTAAGTCTAGCTTGGGGAAATTACTTAAAGAAATGAAAGACCACAGGGTCAAGATGCCTCAATCCTTCACCATAGCAGTAGCAACAGGAACTCACTAGGGACTCAGGAGAGCCCTGAGGACAGAAGAAAACAGCTGCCAGCTTAGTACACTGTGTGGCTCCGAAAAGTGATAAAGGAATTGGATGGGTTTAGTATGCCACACTGCTGGCCTGAGAATGCCTCCTGCTTTCTCAGGGTCCACCCAACTCAGTCTGCATTTAAGAAAAAGATCCAGAAATCTCCCATTGTGCCTGCTGTGCAGCTTTATCTCTTATCATCTCCTATTCTCTCTCAGCTTAGAGTCATTTAGGGCAGCAAAAATAACCTACAAAAGAGAGATACATGATGATTGCCTGTGGCTGATGCCGAATTTTCACAATTCACTCCCAGAACCACACTTAAAATCAGAACACATCAAGTTTCAAAGTCTGCTGGAACCATTATCTTGCATCTGAAATGTGGAGTCCAATGCCTTTGGGGGAACGAATGGCAAAGGGGTATAGAGTGGGGTCTGGCAACCAGCAGAGTGATTCATGACCATTCCAAGCCCCTCCCTAGACAATCAAGAGGTCAATTCTATTCTCATCTTTCCTTCCCATTTATTACTGCAAAACCACTGAAATGGGAAAACAAAAACAAAAACAAAAACAAAACAAAACCCAGAACATTGTGGCAAATGCCTGAAGCTGATGTTCCAGGAGGGTGGGGGAATAGTTCCATCCAGTTAGCATCCAGGCAAAGGGAGGTAAATGTTAACTTGAGCATCACTGTTTGTCACAGGCATCAGTTGTGCATGTTCTTGAAGAGTCAGGGAGGAGTGTAGATGCTCAAGAACACTAAAGCCCCAAAGGCAGTATCTCCTAGCTCATCACCATCACGCACCCAGAGCAGCCAGGGAAAAGATTTCTGAGCAACTGCAGAACAAGGGAGGACATTTGATTCCTGCTTTATTCAGTTACCAGTAATCGGTCTTGCATCATTCGCTTTTGTTAAATGGACTAATGGCACAACATGCCGTCACATGAGTACAGTGGATATAAGCACCTCCTGCATGTTGGCTTCTGGCAGAAGTCTGGAGAGGATACCGCTGGCATGAGGCTCTCAGGGCACCAGTTCCAAGTTCTGCTCTGGAAGAACTGGCTTTGCCGTCTGCGGCACCCGGTGAGTGTTTGTTCCTGCCTCCCCTAGTTGAGGTGTGTGAAAGGAGACCAGGATCTGTTTCCACCTGCCTGCCGGCTCCTCCTCAGACAGGTGCAAAATTCCATCTGTCCTTCGGAGAAGGGATAAAAGCTGGGCGGTTAAAATCAGAATCTGCCCAAAGAGCCAAGTTGTTAAACTACTAAAGAATCTACAGCTCAAAATCCAGGCTATAGCGTTTTGTCAGAAAGGGCTAGCAAATGAAACAGCTTTCTAAAATACTACAGATAGACTTGGAAATATAATTGACATTTTAGGCATTTGTGGTAAAAACAGAACTGCTTCTTCTCTGGTTTAAGGGATAAGTCATCAAACACAAATAGTGTATATATCCAAAGTTTGGGTATTTAATTTCTATTTATCATTATTCTTTGATGTAAAATATTTAATGGTAATTTACGTCTTTTTTGGAAATTTATGCAGGCTACAATACCAAGGCTTTTCTAAACAGATTAGAATTTGCCCAAGTGCTACATTAAATACCCTCTAAGTGTACATTCTAACAAAGTATGAATCAATTAATTATTATAATAGCATTCAGAGATGCATATACATCTTGGCCTCTTAGGGTTCTATTTGAACCCATTTTATGCAAGCCAGAATCCTGGTATATTCTTAAACTGAACGCTATTTATTACTGTGGAAATAGTGATATTCTTAAACTGAACGCTATTTATTACTGTGGAAATAGTGATATTATCTTCTTGGATGAATGTCTCTAAACAGACCTACTTTCCACTTCCTCTTCTTGCTACCTATGACAATCTGTAAATTCTCTATTTTCTCACAGTATAATGTGTTGAATATATAGTCTGACCCAGTGATTTCTTAGAAACATCTTTATTCATGAATAGGAATCAGACACTGTAAGATGAGTATACTATTGAAAGAGGCCTGTCTGATTTTCTTCTATTTTAAAACACTTTATTTTATTTCATTGTTGTTGTTAAGTGCCATTGAGTTGAGTGTGACTCCTAGCAACGCTATGAACAAAAGATCTGAACCCTGTTCTATAATTATTGTCATTTCTCTAATGTTCATAGATTTTTTTCCAAAGGCCTGTTGTTTAACAAGTGGATGCCAATCTTGCTTCCAAGGCTGTCTTAATCTAGAAGCTCTACCAAACCCTGCCCACTATGGATAACCATTATGGCATTTGATACCCCAGTGGTATAGCAGTCAGTATTATAGTAATTCCAAACTGGCAGACAAGTGCTATATCACTAAGAACAATGTTCTTCTCAAATGCAATTGACTTTCAATTAAATCAAGAGAATCTACCCTCCAGAATCCAACTGCTTCACACATAAGTCTCCAAACATTACATTTATTTAATTTTAAAAGCATCTTATTATAAAAATTTCAGGTAGAAAAATAATAGCAATAATAATGAGCAAATAATGTTCACCATACATCTTCATCAGTTACTATTCTTCTATAAAATTCTATTTTTTGGATAAAATTTGTTACATACAAGATTGTTTTAAACTATTTAATTGTCACGTAATGTTTCTCTTGATTTTTATAAAAATTTAAAATTCCATTTTCTTAATATATACAGCATTTCTATGGTCTTGTCATTGTTGTTGTTATGTACTATTGAGTTGACTATGACTGATAACAATCCAATGAAAAACAGCTTTGAATCCTGCATCATGAGCTGATTTAGTTGTCTCTGACACACATGCCCCCAAAATCCCAGTTACCACATCAATCCATCTCATTCAGGTTCTTCCTCTCCTGCACTGTCCCTCTACCCTTCCAAGCATGATGTTCTTCGCCAAGGACTGGTCCCTCTTGGCAACATGCCCAAAGTATACCAGACAAAACTTCAAAATTCTTGCCTCCTAGAAGCAACCTGGCTTCACCCTTTCAAAGACAGACCAGTTCTCTTAGCATTCCATAGTATGTTTTATATACTCTTCTCCAGAACCACAATTCAAAAGCATTGATTCTTTAAAATATTAGTATAATTAAAGTCATAGCTTGTTGCTCTTACTTTGCTCAGTATTGCTGATAGTTATTTTTAAGGGCAGGTTTGTTTGTTTTTTGTTTGCTTGCTTGTTTGTTTTAGGAAGCTAAAGAAGCTTTATTAAGGAGTCTCCTGGACTTTTAAGGGTGTTTTGTCTTCATATTTAACAGTTTCATGGCATATTATTTATCAGCTAAGCACTCAATTTACCCAGGTATTTCCTACCATTTCCTCAATTTATCCAGGTATTGGGCATTATATTTTCCCATTTCTTATCATTATGGATACCATTTCTGTATAGTATGGATGTATTGCCAATGAGCTAATCTCTCTTGAATAAATTCTCTAGGGGTCCAAAGTTAAAGGACATGTTTCTTTCAAATTGTCTCAAAGAGCTTGCAGTGTCTCAGTCCAGCCTAGCAGTTTCTGAGCAATGTCATTAACTTGGCAAAGACCCACAGATTAAGAACCAAATTTTACTGCATGAATTATATGTTAATTCTTACACTTCATTCTAACTATAAATTTATCTTATGTCTGTTAAGTCATGTATTCTTCTTGGCCTTTCTGAACACTTCAGTCTTTGGTAGATTTTCCTGTGTGGTGGCATTATTGAAATAGCACTGCTGAGTCCACCTGGCATGGACTGACTGTGGACAGCACAAATCTCCCCACTCCCCACTCCAAGTCATGAGGCCTTGGTATGATTTCTAGTCATTGTTGCTTCCAGTTTTTCTTTGTCTAACTTCTGTGAATGCCTTTTAGTTTTTTTAATATGTTACTTTGTTGTTGAGAATATACACAGCAGCACATATTCCAATATGGGGGTGTCTACTCTTTATTTTCTTCTCTTATTTTTAATAGTTTGCATACAATCATTCATATACATTGTATTCCATGCATGTATATTTTGTATAATCTTTCATTCACATTGTGTTTTATACATTAATATACATTCCATTTAAAAATATTTTGTTGATTTGCTTATAAAGTTCATATACATTGTTTCACATTATCCTTCATTCACATTGTGTTTCATAAAATCATTTTCATTCATTATGTTTTATAAAATTAATAACCATTGAGCTATGCTCACCATTACCCCATCTTTCTAGATCCCAAACAGATTGTTCCCATTTCCTTTAGCCTTCCCTTACTTCCCCTCCACCATCCTCATCCCTCTGCTCCCATGCTCTCTGCTCTTGGATCCTCATACTCATTTCACTAGTTATTTTTCTATTTTTACAATAATGGTCTTATATAGTATCTGTCCTTATGGATTGAGTTAATTCACTTAGCATAATGCTCTCCAGTCTCTCCTAAGTTATGTAATAATTTTTGAAATTGTTGCTCCTGAGTGCTGTATATTGAATACCATTGTGTGAATGAATCATAATTTCTCAATCCATTCAATTGTGGTTGAACATTTGGGCTATCTTCTTGTGATTGTGAATAATGCTGCTACGAAAATTAATGTATACATCTCTGTTCATATCTTCTCTGTATCATTCCAGTTTTAGTATATGTGCTGCCGAAGCGAGCACTCTGTTCATATCTTAGTTTGAATATTCTTGGGGTATATTCCTAAAAGTGAACTACCTGGGTCATATGGAATTTCAACATTCAGCTTTCTGAGGAAACACCAAACTACCTTCCAGAGGGGTTGTACTGTTTTACTATCCCATCAACAATGTTTGAGAGTTCTAATCTTCCACATCTTCTCCACCATTTATTGCTTGCTGTACTGTTAAACTCTGCCACTGCTACTGGGGTGAGATAGTATCTTATTGTGATTTTGGTTTGTATTTCTATTATTGCCAGTGATTTTGAGCATTTCTGTATGGGTCTATTGGCCATCTGAATGTCTTTCTCTGTGAAAAGTCTTTCCATGTCTTTTACTCATTTTGCAATTTGGTTATATTGGACTTTCTTTGTTTTTGTTTTGTTGTTCTTGTTGTTGAGGCCCTGCAATATTCTGTAAATTTTTATTATAAGACCCTTGTCTGAGATGGTAGGTTTTCCTTTTTCTCCCCAGTCAGCAGGTTTTTTCCCCAGTCCATAGGTTTTCTTTTCACCTTGTTGTAAAAAAGTGTTTGATGCATACAGGGATTTAATCTTTAGAAGGTCTCATTTAACAATTTTATCCTTTCCTGATTGTGTATTTCTGTCTGTATTTGTTACCCTCTTTATATCACAGGCTAGCCCTTCTAAGCTTGGTTCCACTTTGTCCTTCATGATCTTATTATGATTTTGGGCTTTATCCCTAGGTCTCTGATCTGCCTTGAGTTGATTTTGTGTATGGTGAGAAATGTGGATTCTGCTCCAGCTTTCTGTGGGTAGTAGTCCAGTTTGCTAGCACCATTTATTAAGAGGTTGTTGTTTTCCCATTTGATAGAGGTTGTTTTTTTTCCTTGTTGAATACCAGTTGACCATAGAGAGGTGGGTCAATTTCTGGGTTCTCGATTCTCTTCCATTGGTCTATGTGCCTGTCATTGAACCAGTACCATGCTGCTTTGGTTATTATGTCTGTGTAGTAGGCTTTGAGATTGGTAAGTGCTATGCCTCCCACTTCATTCTTGTTTTTCAGAAGTGGTTTTTTAATTTGGGGTCTCTTTCCTCTTCAAATAAACTTGTCAAATGCATTTTCCATCTCTTTGAAAAATGAATTTGATATGTGTATTGAGATTGCATTCAATGTGTAGATTGTTTTTTGTAAGATGGTCATTTTCACTATACTGATGTCTTCCTTACCATTAACAAGGAACATTTTTTCCATTTATTTAAGTCATTTTTTTTCTTACAGAAGAGTTTTGTAGTTTCTTTGTAAAGGTCTTTTTGTAGGTTTATTCGTAAATATCTCAATTTGTGTTGGTGATTGTAAATGGTATTGCTTTCTTTGGTTCCTTCTCTATGTTTTCTTTGTTCCTGCAGAGGAATCCCACTGACTTTTGTTTATTGATCCTGTATCCTGCTACTCCACTAAGTTTATCTA